GGAGGTGGGTCCCACGCGGACCACCTCGAGACCTCGCTGTGCCCTGGGGGCTGCGAGCTGCGCAACTGTCGCCACTTTCGTGGGTTCCTGGGAGGCCCAGCGGAGGTGGGTCCCACGCGGACCACCTCGAGACCTCGCGGTGCCCTGGGGGCTGCGATCTGCGCAACCGTCGCCACTTTCGTGGGCTCCTGGGAGGCCCAGCGGAGGTGGGTCCCACGCGGACCACCTCGAGACCTCGCTGTGTCCTGGGGGCTGCGATCTGCGCAACTGTCGCCACTTTCGTCGGCTCCTGGGAGGCCCAGCGGAGGTGGGTCCCACGCGGACCACCTCGAGACCTCGCGGTGCCCTGGGGGGCTGCGATCTGCGCAACTGTCGCCACTTTCGTGGGCTCCTGGGAGGCCCAGGGGAGGGGTCCCACGCGGACCACCTCGAGACCTCGCGGTGCCCTGGGGGGCTGCGATCTGCGCAACTGTCGCCACTTTCGTGGGCTCCTGGGAGGCCCAGCGGAGGTGGTCCCACGCGGACCCTCGAGACCTCGCGGTGCCCTGGGGGGCTGCGATCTGCGCAGCTGTCGCCACTTTCGTGGGCTCCTGGGAGGCCAGCGGAGGTGCGTCCCACGCGGACCACCTCGAGACCTCGCGGTGCCCTGGGGGCTGCGATCTGCGCAACTGTCGCCACTTTCGAGACTCTCGCGGTGCCCTGGGGGCTGCGATCTGCGCAACCGTCGCCACTTTCGTGGGCTCCTGGGAGGCCCAGCGGAGGTGGGTCCCACGCGGACCACCTCGAGACCTCGCGGTGCCCTGGGGGCTGCGATCTGCGCAACCGTCGCCACTTTCGTCGCTCCTGGGAGGCCCAGCGGAGGTTGGTCCCAGGCGGACCACCTCGAGACCTCGCGGTGCCCTGGGGGCTGCGATCTGAGCAACTGTCGCCAGATTCGTGGGCTCCTGGGAGGCCCAGCGGAGGTGGGTCCCCGCGAACCACCCCGAGACCTCGCGGTGCCCTGGGGGCTGCGATCTGCGCAACTGTCGCCACTTCCGTAGGCTCTGGGAGGCCCAGCGGAGGTGGGTCCAACGCAGATCACCTCGAGACCTCGCGATGCCCTGGGGGGCTGCGATCTGCGCAATTGTCGCCACTTTCGTGGGCTCCTGGGAGGCCCAGCGGAGATGGGTCCCACGCGGATCACCTCGAGACCTCGCGGTGCCCTGGGGGCTGCGATCTGCGCAACTGTCGCCACTTTCGTGGGCTCCTGGGAGGCCCAGCGGAGGTGGGTCCCACGCGGATCACCTCGAGACCTCGCGGTGCCCTGGGGGCTGCGATCTGCGCAACTGTCGCCACTTTCGTGGGCTCCTGGGAGGCCCAGCGGAGGTGGGTCCCACGCGGATCACCTCGAGACCTCGCGGTGCCCTGGGGGCTGCGATCTGCGCAACTGTCGCCACTTTCGTGGGCTCCTGGGAGGCCCAGCGGAGGTGGGTCCCACGCGGACCACCTCGAGACCTCGCGGTGCCCTGGGGGCTGCGATGCCAACTGTCGCCATTCGTCGGCTCTGGGAGCCCAGCGGAGGTGGGTCCAACGATCACCAACCTCGCCGCCCCCTGGGGGGCTTGCGATCTGCGCAACTGTCGCCACTTTCGTGGGCTCCTGGGAGGCCCAGCGGAGGTGGGTCCCACGCGGACCACCTCGGGACCTCGCCGCCCCCAGGGGGCTTGCGATCTGCGCAACTGTTGCTACTGTCGTGGGCTCCTGGGAGGCCCAGCGGAGGTGGGTCCCACGCGGACCACCTCGAGACCTCGCCGCCCCCAGGGGGCTTTGCGATCTGCGCAACTGTCGCCACTTTCGTAGGCTCTGGGAGGCCCAGCGGAGGTGCGTCCCACGCGGATTCGGGACCTCGCCGCCCCCTGGGGGGCTTGCGATCTGCGCAACCGTCGCCACTTTCGTCGGCTCCTGGGAGGCCCAGCGGAGGTGGCTCCCACGCGAATCATCTCGGGACCTCGCCGCCCCTGGGGGGCTTGCGAGTTTCGCAACTGTTGCCGCTTTCGTGGGCTCCTGGGAGGCCCAGCGGAGGTGGGTCCCACGCGGACCACCTCGAGACCTCGCCGCCCCCTGGGGGGCTTGCGATCTGCGCAACTGTCGCCACTTTCGTGGGCTCCTGGGAGGCCCAGCGGAGGTACGTCCCACGTGGATCATTCGGAGGTACGTCATACGCGTTTCTTGCAACGCCCCTGTGCTTCCATGTTGTATAGTTGCCGTTCCTCTTTTTGCTGCGCTCTTGTGAAATCACTGTTGGGTGCTCTTCTTGCGCACTGCGGGTCCTTCAGAATGCCAGTCAGCATTGAGTGGTCCTGGGTATAATCGCCACATGTATAGAAAGGGTTGGGTACGTCACAGGGTAATCCCCCATATTTTCTGGATTTTTGTCGGGCTGGGCGAAAGGGGGGGATAGCAAAGAAGGGGTTTGAGAATCAGCTCACGTAGCTGATTTTCCGGGCGCCTCCCAGCGCTGGAGGCGGCTATGTATCGAGGAATGGGCCCCTCGGTGGGGCCGGAACCAGCTGCATGCAGCAAATTTCGTGACCCCCCCTTTCCCTATCCCCCCCTTTCGTCCGGCCCGATTTTGTCTTCCCCCCAGCTTCTCATATTGTCCTATGTTTTCCTGGGAGTCGACGTTCCCTGTGTTTTTGTTCCCTCCTCCTGAGTTTGTTCCCCCTCCTATGTTTTGTGTCTGTGTTTTTGTTCCCCCTCTCGAGTCTTTGATGGCCCCGGGGGCCGACGTCGGGCCCCCCGTGGCCGAAATCGACGAAGCACGGCCTCGGTGTGAGGGGTCCAGGCCTCTGGGGTCCACGTCTGGGGGGCAACGACAGGCGGGGGGCTGGCGTGGGGGGGGGGGATGCATAGACCCTGCGAAATGCTTTAGAAAGCATGGGTTAAGAAATTTATAGTCTCAGATTTTTTTTTTTTTTTTTTTAAAAAAAAAAAAAAAAAAAAAAAAAAAAAAAAAAAAAAAAAAAAAAAAAAAAAAAAAAAAATGTCTTTTCAAATCTTAGGATTTACGTTGAAACATTAAGAATAATCGAGACTCTGACCGAAAACTTAAGTTTTCTTAAGCATCGCATAAGGCGTAGACCTGGCATCGGCGATGCATCGCCACTACATCGGCGGTAGGCCCCTGATAGCGATGCCGCGCCTTCATGGGTGGGCGGGGCTATGATAACCCTATCGGCGATCAACGGGCGATCGGGGTCGATGCATCCCCCCCCCTCTGCCTATCCCCCCCTATTATCGTTGCCCCTGAACTCGAGGAGCAAACGCTGGTCCGCGCGGACTTCTTGGATCCGCTGGAACACCCCCCCCTGGCGCGCAGAGCGCGCCAGGGGCGGCGCCGGAGGCGCCGCCAGGGGGGGCCAGCGCAGATCCAAGAAATCCGCGCGGACCGCCCAAAGTTTATGTGTGTGTGTGTGCCGTTTTCGGACTTGAGACGCCAGTCGACGCTGAGCGACGCTGAAGACGGATTTCGGAGCGCACACCAGGCTCCCATGATTTGCGGCCGACCCCCCCTAACCACCTCGACAAGCGCGTTCCACTACTCGCAAAGTGGCTACTCGCAAGTGGCCTGCATCTGCTGCGGGGGATCTGCGCTGTTCTACATCGGGGGAGGACATGTGCGTTCGGACGTTTGCGAGCAGGCACTCGGCGAGTAGCGGAACGCGCTCGGTGACCATCGTTGCCCTGAACGTCGGTTTGACTGAGCCGTGCCGGCGCGGGGGAAAGGAAGCGGGGGGAAGGCTTAAGTCGGGCCTGTCCCTCTACAGGGGGAGTTCCGACGAAGGATACAACATACCCCCAAAATAATCAACAAATAGTAGGACTGATAATAATAACAATAATAATAACGATAAAAACATCTCTGGCCCTTCTCCAGCGGCCCAGAGACCAACTCCAGAGAGCTGTATAGAGCCTCCGTTGGGGGATCTCTTGGAACCTTCTCTTTTTGTCATGCGCCAGGCGAGCAGAGCGAAAAGGTTCCTTCCGAAGGGATACTCGATCCTCGAGCACACCTGAGGAATCAACAAAGGCTTTGGCAATCACAGCCCAGCGCAGACTTAGGGAGGGAGAGGAGGGAGACTTGAGCGAGATAGTTACAGACAGGCAAGCTGACAGAAGCGGGCCTCAACGAAGCGAGAGATATAATGATCAAAGATTAAAAAAACATCTCTGGCCCTTCTCCAGCGGCCCAGAGACCAACTCCAGAGAGCTGTATAGAGCCTCCGTTGGGGGATCTCTTGGAACCTTCTCTTTTTGTCATGCGCCAGGCGAGCAGAGCGAAAAGGTTCCTTCCGAAGGGATGCTCGATCCTCGAGCGCACCCAAGGAATCAATAAAGGCTTTGGCAATCACAGCCCATACCATGATATATTACTGGAGGGCCTCCTGAAAGCACTGAAAAGTGAAGGCCTCCGCAGCATCGGCTTGCCTTGCGAGCTCAGAAGGAAGACGGGCGGCCGGGAGAAGAAGGCGGCCGCTCTTTCGTATCGTTTCACAGACTTGGCGTGGGCCCAGCGCCCGCGCTTCTGAACAACTGCTAGACTGCGGGTGCGCACCAGCACGTCATGGCTAGGCGCAGAATGACGGGCCACGCGGGGAGTGAGAAGCCTTACCTTGCCGAGAATAGAGCGACTGTACTTCTTAAAAAGTGCTTCATACTTGGCTAGAGCCAGATGCGGGAAGACTAGCTGGTCAGAACAGGCGTCAGCCTTACGGCGTCTAAGATTGTCCTTCAGAAAGACACTCATGAGCAAGTGGAAAACCGAGAGCGGCGACGGATGCCGTGAGGGGCCAGGGAACCTACGGACCCAGCCCTTCATTGCCTCACGAGCCATCGCGAGCGGGGCGGACTCGGCAATGTCCGACCGCGGGAAGAAAACCAGATACCCTCGAGTGTGTACCGTCCTTCCGCGGCATGCCGAGCGTCACTCATGAGAACATTGAAATCCTTGCACATCTGACGATGAAGGACTCTGGAGCTTGCCTGAGATCATCTGAACGCTTCGCCCACTCGAAAAACTCTCGGACTGCGGCCCCATATCGCTCGAGCGACGTCGAGGTGATCGAGCCGAAGCGGGCGGCGCCCCCATCCGCAGGGACAGGCGCCCTCGGACCGAAGCTCAGGTTGCGGCCCTTGATCGCCTCCACGAAACTAGAGGCGCGGGGGCGGCGGCCAGCGACTTTTCGGGCCTCTCCTCGAGCGGGCTGCCTGTTTCCTTGCCGCCTCGAGGTTGGAGTCCTGACCGAAGACGATGAAAGGCCGCAGGTGGTCATACCTGCTCTCGAGACCGTCCGAGTCGGCGGCGCCAGCGAGCCCGAGGTCAGGCTCCGCTTGAAGCCGCTGCCGAGCTGGTCGGAGGCGCTCGCGGGCGCGCGAAGCCGGCCGTCGCGCAGCATCGCGAAGCCGGGCCTCCAGGTCCCCGCCGTCAGGTGCGTCGGGGCCGTTGCGGGCCACCGCGGGCGCCGACATGCCTGCGGCCAGGGCCCATGCCTGGCAGAGGCTGCGGGGGTAGGCCCCAGCGCCTGCCGCACGATTGCGAGAAACACGAGCCCCAGATGGCAACGTCACGGTCTCGAAACCCCCGAGCTCAACACGCGAATGATCTCTGGAGCACACTGGAGCCAAGGAACTCAGGGCTGACAGGTTAGTGAGAATCGCTGTCGGTTTCATGTGCGAGGCCCCGTAACTGCAGCGCACCAAACACACGCGAACAACGTCAGGAAGGTCAGTGAGCTCTCGAACGGGGTCGAAGTCCCAAAGTCTGGAAGATCTCGGGTTCTCAATGCTCCAGAAGACTCCGTTCCGCGAACATTCATAAGCAACGCGGCAGCTGAACAGGGCGAGAGCTACACCCACACGCTCCTTGTACGCGGCTTTCTCATAGTTGACGATACCGTGACGAGCCCGAGACCACACGCAACAGGGTGTCCCAAGATGCACATACCAGAAGCGCCCCTTTCGGATGTCCTCTAAGATGATGTTCTGGACTTTCGGGTCCAGCAGGTCGTGGTGAGCCCCATCTTTGATGTCCACGCAGGGGCGAGTTGACAAGCCAAGCTCCTCGAACGCCCTGGAGAGCCCACCCTCGCCCGAGAACAGCTCCAAGAAGCCCTGGTCCTGCTGGGCCCGTCTCCGAAGCTGAACATGCCCAAGACGCAGAGGGGGGCAGGCGGTCCGACTGGTCACCGAAGGTGTGGGGGTGGAAGACGGACAGGACGGTCGACGCGAAGAAACTTCGTTTTCCTCGGGAGGCTGCGGGCCCAGATGCTTGTCGCTCTCGGCCGCGGCGGGCGGATGCCCTGCGAGGCCGAGCCCAGGAGGCAGGCTGCCCGTCTTGACTACAGCGTTCAAAGGGAAGCGAGAGGGAGAAGATGTTGTCATATCTGCCGAACTCTGTCTGTTACATCCTTTGTCGGGGGAGTTGTGCTCGAACCGACGAGATGGAGCGTCGGCCACGTTAAACTTCGTGTTGACATACTGCAGCCTCCAACGCACTCTACAGCCGATGGTGTAGGCCGCAGCTCGCCGGCATTGTGCGTTCAGAGCTGCTGAGCGGCTGGGCCGCCCTTTGTCCAGGCAGCCAACGCATGCCATGGAGTCCACGAGAGAAATCAGGCGGCGTCCGCAATTCTGGCGGACGCGACAGGCATGCCGCAGCCCCATCACCGCATCGCGGTTCTCCTTCACATAGATGTGCTCTCCAGGCCAGCGCCAGCGCCTCGCCGCGACCAGTTTGAAGCCTTCCGGGTCGAACCAGGAAGCAGGCAGCGGCGGCGCCAGGGGGCCCGCCTGGCTGAGGCACTCGGCGTCGGGGCCCCCAGGGTCGACTGGGCGCCGCCGCAGACGGCGAGGGCGAGGCCGGTGAGACCCGGCGGAGGCAGAGCCCTCCCCCCCCCTGCTCTGCAGCCACTGGCCGAAGGCCGTGGCAGGGTCAGAGCCAGCGCTCGGCTCGGCGGAGCGGCAACGGGGCTCCACCTCGTAATCCAGCTGCGCCTCGTCCACCTCCCTGTAGCCGCCCATCTCAGCGACATCAGCGGCCGAGGTCAGGCCAACACGGGGGCCTCGGAGGTGCTGCTTGAAGCTCCACCTCTCCTTCCAGCGGAAGGCTGACTGCATCTCCTCGTCCGAGGCCCTTTTGTACATCAGGCCGTGCCCGTTGTCGGCGGAGTCGCTGGCGTAGACGCGCGGCACGTAGGGCGCAGCTAGGTCGACCTCCGCGAGCCAGACCAGTCCGACGACCAGCCTCATCTCGTGCATGACCTCGCGCGGGAGAGGGGTCCGAACACCCCGGGCGACCTCGGCGAACCGGCACGTGGCTGAGGGCGCGGCGTATCCCGGCCTGGCCAGCATCAGCAGCGACACAGCGTGGCCTAGCCAGACCTCCATGTGCCCCCCCCGCATCTTGCCACGACGCAGGAGGGCGCGGGTGGCCAAGTCAATTCGCCACACTCGGGAGGCCTTGTTGCGAAGCTTCCCCTTCTTGAGGTCGATCTCAACGCCCACGGTCTCGAGGTGGGTCACCACATCAGGATAGGACCACGTGATGGGCAATCCAGATCGATCAGCTTCGGCCTGTAGGGCGGAGCTTGCCTCACGGGCTAGAGAGGCGTCCCTGCCAAAGACGGATGTTGTCCACGTAGACGCTGCCCATGACCTTGGACTCTCTCAAGTCGGGGGCGGGATGGTGCTCCTTCACCATGGCAGGCGTCGGCAGAGACGGCGAGCGCAGCGCCCGCTCTGTCATAGCCGACACGGCCTCCTGCGCAAAGTACAGAGCCCAAGACCACCCCATGCACATAGCACGCATGCACGGGTACAAGACCATGTCGTCTTCCACGGAGACCATCATGCTCAGCTCGGGGTCCCAGAACGCTCCGACATTGATGCCGTAAGTGTCCCTGATCTCGGCGGCGGGCAGCGGGTCGTCGAAACCGAACCACTCCGCCAAGCCATCGACGGCGAAGTTGTAGAAGCAGTCCTCGACATCGGCCTCGTTCCCGCGGGGGTCCCAGCCCATCGCGCTGCCGACGCCGTCGACGGACTCGCCACCCACGGAGAGGTCGAGGTCCGCCAGGGCCCCAGCTGAACCGAGTCTTGAAGTCGGAGGGGCACGATGACGAGAGTTGGCCTGTCTAGCGCCCACAATCATTCTAATCTCACCTGGCTTCTTTTTCTTCACAAAGACAAGGGCAGCGCGAGCTCGGAGACGACGTCTGAACGTTATCAGTCCCAGCTCATACAGCACCCTGAAGAGTCGCCAACGCTCAGTCCGACTCGAGCGAAGCACGGGATCCCAGTAAGGACGAATAGGATCGGTGTGCTGGCGCATGAACTCCATCTCCCCCTGATCCTTCTCGATGTACAATGCGGGGTTGCGGATCATGTCCGCAGGCAAGGGCGGCAATAAGTTAGCCACAGAGCGAGGCCGAGCGCGCCCTTTTGCGACCTTGAGCTTCGTCAGATCGAACGGCGCGAGGTTCTTCGGCTCCTGGCAGTACAGGCCCTTGGAAGCCAGCAGCTCGCGAGCGGCCCCCTCGGCCGTCAGGCCAGGCGGGGGGGGGGCCCACAGCGGCAACGCGCTCCGCAATGCTGTCCAATATCCATTCCTGAACGGCAGTCGGGGCCCGAGATGACTGGCGAGCCTGGCAGAAACTATCTGAATTCGGTTGAGCAGCAGCGAGATGGTTGAGCGAAGCCCGCGCCGAGAGTGCTCGCTGTCGCTGCTCGAAGCTCAAGCCCGAGCTGTCGAGCTGAGAGGGCAAAAATTGCGGCAGAGGGAAAGGGTCCCCACGCCTCCGTCTTGAGGGCCTCCACCGGGTAGCATGTCCCCGATCCGCAGCAGGAGCGTCGGGCCGAGCTCGGGGATCAGACTCGGCCCGGAAGGCCGCGGTCACCCCGGGGCCTCCTCCTCGCCCTTGCTCCCCTTGTCGCCTCTGCCGCGCCCGCGGCCCCGGCCTCGTCCTCGGCCTGGGTCTGCGGGGGCACGAGAGTTCTGCATGGCCCGCTGCTCCTCGTTCCACAACCGAGTCTGCCTGTAGATCGCGGCCTGCTCCTCGAGACGGCCCGTGACCCACTCCGTGAACCTGTTTGTGCTCGCCTGGCCCTGCTCGGTGGTCGGAGCGCGAAGCAAAATTTTCAGCCCACCGTAGTCAGGATGGCGAGGGTTGCGAGCCACCGCGGTCTCGTCCTGGCAGATCCTGCGCATGATGAGTTCGGAGCTCGGCAAGTTCGTCACACCGAGCTGGTCCGTCCGAATGGCCAACCGAACCGACTCGCACAGCACATAATGAACGTGGGCCACCGCCGAGGACTCGCTGACTCCCGAACGGCGAACCCACTGCCCGTGGTAAGAGGTAAGATCTCCAGGGCCATCCCGAACCGAGACAAGCCACTCCTTAGCAACTCGTGGCCCAGGCATGGCCCAATCGTCGACGCTCGTCTCGCGCATCAAAGACGCAGCATCCGAAAGCGGGAGATGACGGCGGCCTGCGGAGTCCCGATGGTCGCCCAGAGTACGGAGGTCTTCTCCCTCCGAGCTGCGCGCGGCCTTCCACTCCTGCAGTTGGTTGCCCTGAACCTTCTCAATGAACACCTCAAGACCGTTCGCCAGCGCCGCGCCCTTGGACTGTGGCCAGGTCCGACTCTGCATCAACCTGGGGCTGGGCAAACTTAGGGTGATTTACCTCCGCGATGACCCAGGCGAAAATCTCCATCCCGACGCCATGGTCGCCGTCGCCCAACATTGCCGCCTGAACGGCGGCCTGTCTCTTCAAAGCCAGAATCTCAGCTCGAGGAACAGGGTCGAAGCCGTAAACTTCGGCTCGGCGATCCGCAGGGAACATCACATTGCGGTCCAGGACCAGGTGGCGCTGCTCTAAGAGATTGTGACGCACCACCGCCAGGTCGGGGGTGATAGCTATCCACACCCCCGCTGTGACCTTTTTCACCAGAGTGCGGTGGCGCCAGAACATGCCTCCCTCATCATTGGGACAGTGCACGAGTACTTGAGCTGAATCCGACGAGCCGCCGAGCAATACATGAACGTGGCCGAGCACCCCTCGAAGGACTCCGAGGGCCAGCACCGCGGCCCAACTCACCACAACGCCGATGAGAATGCCCACCGTCAGCCAGAAAGTCCAGGCGCACGGAGTCGAGGGCACCGCCGACGGGCACTCGTCCGCCTCGGGCTGTCCCCCGCAGCTCAGAACGGGGCAGCCTGGGCACGGCGGGCACGACCCGCACGTGACAGCGGCTGACGCGGGGCAGGCTGGCACCGCGGGACAAGGAGGAACCGCTGGACACCTGCTGAGGTATGAAAGCAGGCTGTTGGCAGCGAAATCTCGGAGACGCTGCTGCCACATCGGCCTCAAGACTTGAGTGAGATAGTTACAGACAGGCAAGCTGACAGAAGCGGGCCTCAACGAAGCGAGAGATGTAACAATCAAATATATAAATTAATAATAATAGTAATGATAATAACAATACTAATAATAATACTCCGAATAATCATCATAATCATAATCATAATCATAATCATAATCATAATCATAATCATCTTCATAATCATAATCATCTTCATAATAATAATAATAATAACACTACTACTACTAACGACAACAACAACAACAACAACAACAACAACACCAACAACAACAACAACACGAACAACAACAACAACAACAACAACAACAACAACAACAACAACAACAACAACAACAACAACACCACCACCACCAACAACAACAACAACAGTATGCGGACTATTTTCGGTGTATTTTTTGTGCAATGTTGCAGGATTTTGGGGGTATGTTTTACCTTTCGTCGAAAGTCCCCGTGTAGGGGGACACGCCCGACGTAACGGAAGGCGTGCGGGCAGGGCGCCCCCTGCGGCGTCGACGGGCGCCGAACCGGCGGCGGCGGCGGCAAACAGGGCGGCGGCATCGGCGGTCGCGGCCCGACCCATCGGTCGGTCGATCGGGAGGAGGAGGAGGAGGAGGAGGAGGAGGAGGAGGAGGAGGAGGAGGAGGAGGAGAAAGGGGAGGAGGAGGAGAAAGGGGAGGAGGAGCAGGAGGAGGAGGGGGGAGGAGGGGGAGGTAGAGGGGGAGATGACGGAGGGAGAGGGGGAGGGGGAGGACGAGGAGGAGCAGGAAGAGGAGGAGGAGGAGGAGGAGGAGGAGGAGGAGGAGGAGGAGGAGGAGAGGAGGAGGAGGAGGAGGGGGAGGTTGAGGGGGAGATGAAGGATTTATTTTGCACTCCACCACGCACACACTCCACACTGGCCATCCTCCTAACACGCACGACTGCTGCTGCGGGCTGGAGGGGCGAAAAGTCCCCCCATCCCGAGCGACCAGCTACTATAGCTGGACAGCTCGGGGGGGAGCGCTAAATCAAAAAAGCCGTCCAAATGCATCATCGAGCCACGCGCCCGCCTCTAGAGTGGCAGGAAGCTTCGGGCGCTTGCCTTGAATGATTCTAGACCAGGCATAACGCCTGCCGTGGTCCGCTGGATCCTCTTTCCTTGGGGGGCCCACGCACCTTCTCCGAAGGTTGTTGACACTACCCCCACAAGTATAGTACTTACAGCGAAGGCACATGAGGAGTATGCCATCGCCATCTGCATAGTCGAGTACGATGGGCCTGTGCCCACCGTCGAGCAACAGTTCACCAGTTAAACCTTTGATAATGGGGCCCCCTTGGCAAAATCCACCGATGGGCCTGGGAATACTACGAGAGGAGCGCCAGCAACCACTGCACAACCAGAACCTGCCTTCCCAGTGCCACTCATGGCGAGGTCCTGGTGGTGCCTTGGGTGCTGGGGGAGGCTTCAGCCTCTGTGCTTCGTTTAAATCAAGTCTGGGAAACAACGGCAGCACGCCAGCAGCAACCAGGCAGACCAGCCTCGAGAAGAGCTGCTGCCTGGTTAAATGATCGCGTTCCCCCTTCGAGGGTTGGGGGTGCCTGGAGACTGCTTCACGGGCTGCCGCGTCTGCTAGATCATTACCTAGCTTGTGAAAAGCGTTCTTCATGAGTCAAATCAGGTCGGTCCCTTTGGTGTCCCTTGACCTTCACAATCGGCCCATCCGCCTGACCCAGCGCATGGAGCAAGAATCCAGCGTACGGGCGACGATATGACAGCTTGGTGGCAAAGGGGCTCTAGGACCTGTCGCACAACGTTCGAACAATCAGAATATATGGGGGACCCATCTTCTCGGCACTGTGCCGCGGAGCAGAAAGCCGCAAACTCGGCCGCTTGGGGGGTCCGCTGAAAGTGCCTCAGCAGAGGCCCCGAGATAGTGCTAAGATGGGTCCCTTGAGAATCTACTAGAATGACAGCCCACCCCGCCCTGGAGAGCTCTGGAGATATCTCCCTGGTACAGGACCCGTCGACGAAGATGTGGCCTCTGAAGTCACTGTGAGCACTGGAGGGTTCCACATGCCAGATAACCTTGATCCCATTAGCATCGCCATCAGCAGTTGGCAATGGAAAAAAAACCCTGGATGTTCATAAAGCCCACGAGAAAATAACAGGTACTCGCTTGGGTCCGAGGTCTCCGTGAGGTCCGACGGGGGACGGATGTCGAAGCGCTTGCCCATCGACTCCTTGCGAGCGTCCTCCCACGCCACACAGTGCCAGAGTCTATGGATAATCGTGCCCTCACAAGAACTACATAAAAGGACACTTCGAATTCTGAAGCTGGTACCCTGCCCCAGACAGCATTGCAACGGACAGCCTTGATGCACCCGCGCCTGGGGGGAGAGAACCGTTTTTTCTGCAACATAACGTAAAACTGAGCATGGCAAACTCGAACTGGTCGCGGGAGGTGGCTGAGCAGCTGAGTACCAGATCTACGTTCGTGAAAAAACTGAATAGCCGTGCGCAGCAGACGCTTCAGCAGCGCTGGGGGGATCAGCGTGAGCGGCAGCTCCACGCCGAAGTGGTCCACGACTACGGTGAAAGAGGGCATGCTCCAGCAGGCCTCGTCGCTCCTGGGGCCCCCACTTTCTCAGGGGAAACGTCAGCACCGTTCGGGGATATGTCGCCTGAGCTGGTGGTATAGGAATGAGTGTAATCGTCTGGGTGCGAAACGTAGACGAAGCCGAAGTAGTTTGAACTGGAAATTGACGTACTTGTGGCGAGCACGCCCCCTTCCAGCGGCCCCCCTGGAGGAAGTGCCAAGCTGCTGTCCTAAGGGCTAAGCCCAGCTGGGCCTGCGGGGGAGACGAAGGAGGGAGAGGGGGAGGAGGAAGATGAGGAGGAGGAGGACGAGGCTGAGGAGGAATAGGAGGAGGAGGAGGAGGAGGAGGGATGGAATGGAATGGAATGGAATGGGCTCCATCGCGGTGCGATACGACAGGAAGGGAAACGAACTACGAGGCCTTCGCTCGGTTCGAGACCTTCGAAACCTGATCCTTGGGATATCTCCCACGCTCGAAATTGGTGAGGTATCGTCTCCGAGCCGTGCTGAGGGGCTTGGAACACGGCTCAGCGAGACTACTGCTGAGCTTCTCACCTCCGAAGAAACCACAAGTGCTGCAAATCCATATTCGGTGGGCAGGGGCATGCACAAGCTGATGGGACGGGTGAACCCAGCCTCCCCCTATATGAACCTGCTTCCCCTCGGCAACTGAAACTTGTCAGACCCCACGGCAATCAACTCGAAACGCGAAGAACGCAACCGTGCAGTGAGGGCCTCCTGGGACGACTGACCACGACACTGCAAACACCTAGTGCCTTTGCTGTCGAGGCAATGCTGGGAGGCAAACCGCGCAGTGGAGGAGGGGGCGGGAGGGGGAGGCGGCCTTGTCGTACAGGCACGGCTGGGGCTCGGGCGAGCTGTCATAGCCTCGAGCGTCGCCCGTAGCAACCTCCGACGAACTAGGCTGGCGCCCATCTCCGTTCTCATGACCCGTGAACGAATCTCTGGCGATAGCCGACATTTTTTCGCAGCAATGCTAGCGAACTCATCTGCAGTGTGATTTCCAGGAACCAAAAATTCAGGGAAGCCCGGGCCTGGGATCTGATCAGCTTCGATGTGGGATGGTACTTGAATGACACAAACCTGCGACTGGTCGCGAAACTGCATCTCCTGGCCCACGAGCTTCCAGATATTCGCATTGGCTCCCTGAGGAACCTTCCAGAATCCCTGATACCACCCGTCAGCTACTCCATTGTTGTCTGTAACATACACCAAGGGCCCTCGAGAGTGCCTGAGCGCCAGCAGTAAACCCCAAATCTCGCCCCTCGGTACATACTGAATACTACCAGGCAGAGGCCCGAAGATAGCAGACCCGACGTGGGGCCCCTCGACATCGCTAATAACCACTGCTGACACTCCGACACGCCGTAGCCGTCGGTCACGAGAATCTGCGCCTCCGCTGGCGTCTCCAAACACCACTAGAGGCTCGCCTGCGTGGCCGTCTCCGAGCGCGTGCTCGTCGAACGGCGCACCTAACGCTGAGAAAAACTCCCAGGCCTCATCGGCGCTGGGAGCTGGCACCTGGGCCCAAGAACTCGGAATGAGACCTCGAAACCAAAAACGCGGTTCAGAATCTTGGCCCGACTGGGCCCTGGGAATCAAGTGGTCCGAATCAGTGTAGATTTTGTGTCCAGAGTTGCAAGGGCACGTCCACCCCCTGTGTAGTGGTGTTTCACTTCCCTGGCCACACCTGGGGCACCTATCGTCACTGATGGCGCCAGTCTCGTCCTTCACCCTGGATAGAGGCCACGTCCCCCCGATGGCCACGCACAGGAGGGTCTCCGAGAGCTTGGTCCCATGCGGAACTCCACTGAGAACTTTAAGTAACTGCCTAAGCGATTCATTGTCGACCCCGTCCTGTAAGCCTTCACCGCGCAAATGTTTGGATGCTTTTTCCCAAAGCTGGGCACGAACACTCCCCTCAAACTCAGTGAGCAAACCACTAATGTCCTCCGAGCTGGTGACTAGTTCGTCTGGGAAAGACCAAATAGCACCTGCATCATCACGTTTAGCTGGTGTGTGCCACTCAGAGGGGGGGGACAGGGTCCCATCCAAACTCCAGAAGATATGCGATGATGGACGAGATAGGGCCCCGAACGTGTCGTGACACCTGCTGCGGTGCGAGTTCCCGCAGCTGTCGCACTAGCCCAGGCCATGCAGCACGAACAGGGCCACGGATGCTGGGCTCGGCCAGCCACGTCTTCAACCAAAGTTGAAGCCCATCACGAGGTAACTTGTTCTCTGGATCGTGCCACTCGGCACGAAGATCCAGCAAAGTAGTGAGGCACCGCCCACGCTTAGAAGAAGCCAGTGTACAACCTTATCGCCGACGACATTGTAACCGAAATTCCCCCAAATCACAGTGATCTGATGCCCGTGCGTGCCGGCCGCTTGAGGCCCAGTCCTCTCGATGAGCCCCGTGGTACGATATTGCCTGGGCGACCGAGCGAACTTCCGAACCTTCATATTCATGTTCTTGGCTTTGACGACTCTCTGGCGACGCATGGCCCTTGCGGGCCTCCCAGCACCCAAGTCGACCCCGAGATGAACGGCTTGAAGGGCGTGTTGCAAAACGAAACCTTTCCTGCGAAGCCGACGCACAACCTCTTTGCCATCAGCCGCATTGGAACACAATATCACGCTCTTGCTAGCAATCTGGAGGCCGTGCTCCTGGGGCGTGTAGCAAGTGTCGAGCACACTGTGAAACAACCTATTCCGAACCAGCTTGCGCGTGCCAGCCGTGTGCTGCGTCGAGTCATCGACCCAAATACGATATGACATGTTGACATGCGTAGTAGTCAAACGCATCAATATGTAATATACCATACACCTCCCGAATCTAGTTCCACTGCGGAGACCCTGGGTGAGACTCTGCCACGGCTGGAACGCTGCCGAGAACGACCCAAGTTGCGAGAGAACACGCGGGGCCAAACACATCTGGAGCTCCAAGGCGAGGACCGCCGGTGGGAACCCCATCTTGAAAGCAGAACTAGCCAGTGGAATCCACCCCATAACATCTTAAAACCCCTTGATGTCCAAGAGGCCCTCACCGAACGCGATGCCAAGCCGAGCGAGCCCTCCGTCGTGAAGAGCTCGCAAAAAAAAAAAAAAAAAAAAAAAAAAAAAAAAAAAAAAAAAAAAAAAAAAAAAAAAAAAAAAAAAAAAAAAAAAAAAAAAACGCTTCTCGGAGCGCGGAGTTGCCCGAGATGGCGGCATCCCAGGCAGGCTCCGAGTCCTTAGACCAACTCCTAACCTCGTCCTCTCGGGCAAGAGACCAAGTCCTGGAAAACATAGACATGAGCCCAATGACCCTGCCCCCCCCATTCTTCTTCCCCAGGAGACGCCCAATGACGAGCAGCATTTGCCAGGGCCAGGAAAGGCACTCCTCACAGGCCCCGAAAACCGAAACTAACTCCTGCATTCCCTCTGGAGGAAGACGTTCCATATGAGTGGGACTGAGGTTGTCAACCCCGAGTCCTGCCTTGGCCTTCATGGAGTGCAGGGCGCGCTGGACGCGCTCGACAGACAAGGGCTCGAGCTGCTCCACAGCTGCTGCCTCTCGGATATCCTGGAAGAGAGCCGTGGCGTCAGAAAGTGGCAGCGGCTTCGGGCTCCAGAGCTCGTGCCAGTGCTTGGTTTTGTGGTCCACGATGTCCCGAGGGTGAAAAAGCGCTTCCCCGTCGACCTGGATTTCATCGGGGACAGGGGGGAGCTTCTTGATGGATTTATGCAAGATCCCAGGGGCCTCCGAGGTAGTGATCCATTCTCGAAGCTCGCGCAAAGAAGAATAAAGAGCTCGCCGTCGTGCTCGACCTGCGACTCGCTTGGCTGTGTGAGCTAGCCGCTCAACAACTGCATCGGAAAGAGTGGCCACTCGAAAAAGCTTGGCCTGCCATGCTGACCATGTAGAGAGCCCCCCTTCATCATTGACCGACCTGGTCCGCTCTAGAGGAACGTGCACCCCTGCAGGTTGGCCCCCAGCGGGGGCGATGCACGCCTGAACGAGCTGCGCCTGCTGAACTGCACCGTTCTGCCTAGACCTGTGCTTGCTAATGGAGCCCAGGGCCGTAGCAAGGCGCCCCTCACCAACCGGCGACGACGTCGTGCAGCGGTTGATCACGTGCCTTATCAGGAGCTTTCATCTCAACCTCCCGAAAGAAGGGCCCCTGAGACCTCGTGGTACCTGCAGCGAGTTGGACCCCATGATGCTGTGATATCGACTGCTCGACCGTAGACGCCCAAGATCCGTGCAAGGCCCCCAGTTGGCACGCATGTTGACCCCCGACGGCGTAAGCAGCATAATTACGTACAATCGGCCAAACGTCTTGCTCGACGGAGTGCGTGAACCCGACCTGCCTCCTGCGCGACTGCCAAATCTCGGAAGGAATAGGGAAAGAGGGGAGGTCTGCTGAATTATGGGTTGCCGAGGGGGGGGGAGGGGGGGGGGGGGGGGTTCCAGAGGCTGAGTCCCCCTTATACGTCCCCAAGACACCCTTTTCCAGCACAATATTACCAGCCTGGCCACTGGGCTCGCGCACAGAGTCACTACTGCTGCTGCCAGCGGGGGCGGAACTAACGGCGTCAGCCGTGTCGCCGAAAAAAGACGGAGAAACTAAATCGTACTCGGCATCAGAATCGCCGTCCGACAGACCGTCGTCCAGCTCAAAAGTGGCCCTCTCGGGCTCAACCGTGAGATCCCCGAACAGAGCCTCGGAAGCCTCAGATATTCGCTGCCTAACAAGCTCGCGTGTTTGACTGCGCTCAGCCCTGGTTCGACTAGATTTTGACCCTGGTGTTGGAGCAACTCCTGGGCGAGGCACCTGGGGTAGTCGACCAGGCGTGACAAGTTCTCGACATAGTAGCTGAGCCCCAGACGGTCGAAGTCGAACGAGAATAGCACTATGTGGTCTCCATGGCACTGATAAGATGGAGGACACCCCGACGATGTACGGAACGCACGACTGGCTCGCAATCACGAAATCGAGTAAAGCCCCTTTCCCCGACTCGCAAGTTGTCAAAACGCCACTCGGCTTGTATATAACCCCGTCAGTCTTACTGGGAAACCCACGTCGAGCGAGCTCCTCTGGTTCTAGATTGAAGCCCCCCACGATGAACCAAGGTAGACGTAACTGTGATACCAACGCTCCGAGCTTAGCGTATCTAGTGAGATTCCTGCCCGCGAATCCGTCAGAGCAGAACCCATAAAAAGTGATGGCCGCCAGTGAGTAGCCGCGCATGTGAACTATGGCTGCGCTTGAACCGTCCAACGCCGTCGACCCCGTCGCTCGTAGGTCGCGAAGAACAGCATCGGACCCGCTGAGACTCTGCATCTGAAGGTGTTGTCGGCACATAAGCCATTCACCACCCTCATTCGCCTTGCTCTGAGTATTCTCCGACTGATCCCGCCCTGTGGCACGGGCTCGATTGATGATAAGTTCAAACTGATGCTTCTTTGCCTGCTCTCGCCAGTGCTGCACGTCCTTCGCACTCTCAACGTGAGTCTCAGCGATCCCAAAATAGTGAAATGGCCTGCAAGCTGGGCCTGACAATAAGTCCCATGCCTGCCGACCCATCGTAGTGACATTGCCGAAGAAGAAAAAGCTATCTGTGCCACTCTTGGATGCAGTGGCCAGCTCTTCCTCATCACCATCAGCACCTGACTGCGCACACCCAGATGCTGGTCCCCTTGGGCCTGTTGATGGCGTTCGTCCCGCAGCGGCGCCTCCTGCGGGGCCCCTTCGCGGCGGTCGCGCCGCCGCCTTGGCGGCTGAGGGCCCCGCTTGCGTCGCCGCCTGCGCCGCCGCCTCAGCCGCCGCCTGCTTGGCCGCCGTGATCTGCATGGCCGCCTCCTTGATCCTCGCCGCCTGGGCTGCCTTGTCCTCGGCAGGGGGGCCACCGCTGGGCCCGCTGCTGCTGCTGCTGCTGTCGGTGGTGCCCTGGGTGCCCTTGCCGCTCCCCTTGTCAGCAGCGCCAGCTCCCTGAGCTTCATCATCAGCTCCCTTTCTCTTCTTCATGTACCTGGTCTCGATCTGCTGCTGCAGCTCCTTCGCGCGAGTGAGCCAGGAGACCACCTCGGAATTCTTCGTGTTCAATTGCGCTCGAGCTGCCTTGAGGTCACCTTCGAGCTTCCGCAAAACTTCTTTCTCGCTGGCCTCCGCTTCCAAGGTGTCGACCTTCGCAAAGACATCCTCATCCCAGGAGAGACTGAACAACGTGTCGCTGTCCTTCTGCTCGGCGGGCTTGTCCTGAGGAATGGCACCGACCTTGGGCGCGAGGGCCAGCACGGCGAGCCTCTTGGACTCCTGCGCCGTGGCAAGCGTGATAGCCAACTCTGCCTCCTTGGCCTCAGCGCGCACCAAGTTCTCCCTGGCGCGCAGCAAGGCATGGAAGGCCTGGTCGTGCTTGGTAGTCGCGTCTCTGACTGCACTGTCTGCTTTCTCAGCTGCTTCCTCAGGCGATGAGCTGGCCTCGACGGCCCGCATCTCGTTCTTAAGGACCTGGATCTGGCTGGACAGGTCCTGCTTGATCATCGGGTCAGTCACCACTGCCAGGGCGCTTTCTAGTGCGGACGCCTTGGACGAGACAACTGTTTGCATGGTGCCACCTGCTCCTGCCAGAACCAACTGCATGTTATCAACATCGGAGTACGTATCTTTGTCGCTGCCACCACTTTTCTTTCCCTGATAGAGTTTGACCTGGCGTCCGCACTTCTGGCGTCTGCGATCACGCTCCAAGAGAATAGAGTTCCACTCGCTGCGTCCACAGGCTCTGCATGTATACCATGGAGTGGATGTGGCCCTGGACATGGCTTCCTGAAGAATGATTTCCCCTCTTCGCCACCGAGAAGAGAGGTCCTAGGCGTGGACTTCCGCCTCGGGCCCCCCAAGCGCCGACGTGAAGGCGAGGGGCTGAACTGAGCAACTTGGGGGGCCCAAGTTGCTCGAGCTCAAATTGCTTGAGTGAGGAGGAGGAGGAGGAGGGGGAGGGGGAGGAGGAGGAGGAGGAGAGGTGGGTAGAAGCATGAAGTAGGAGGGCGCTGGAAGTGGATTCGGCTTCCGCCCACCCCCTGCAGACGAGGGAAAGAGTAAAACCACTCGATCCTCGAAGCAGGAAGCCGCCTAGAAAGTAGATTGGAATCTGGGGCTCAAAAGGTGTACTTTCAACGGCAGACGAGCAATTGTTTCTCAAAACGAGCAGGGCGGATTTTCCTGTTTTCAATTTTCGTTCTTGGAGAAGTGAACACGGAGATCAAACGAAACTCGAAACCAGAGAGAAAAAACAGTGCCACCGGGGAACGGCAACGGACAAAAATACAGCTCCTGAAAACGGCGCCCGTCAGAACCTCCCAAGGCCCCCGAGACGAACAAAAACACTGGCACTCGCGAGCAGTCTTGGGCGGCGGCGGCGGCATTCCCCTCAGTGGCTGTTGGAGGAGGCGCCTGCAGCGGAAGGGGCCCAGAGGGGGAACCGGAACAAACATTTCGAGCTCTCGGCCCAAAGAGGCGCCAAGGAAGCCCCCAGAGGCCCCAGGCCCCCAATAGGCTCCAAAGAAGCTCCCAAGACTCCCAACAGGCCCCCAGGAGAAGCCCCAAGAGACCCCCCACCCCAAAGAGGCTCCCCAGAGGCCTCAAAGACCCCGAGAAGAATCCATGAGGACTTTGACCCACAACCCATGTGCATCTCGAAACTCTGCTGGAGCTCTCTTGAGCCACCTTGGCGCCCTCTGGGGCAGTCGATCGGCTCTCTTCGACAGGGTGCGAGCCTCATCTCCAAATATCTCCTCGAAGACCGTCTTGTCCGCCCTACCTTTCGGCACGAGCACACCACCACGCAGCCAATGATGCGACATGGGCCGGCGGAATAAACGAACCGATCACACAAAACGGAACCGAAACGAGAATTTAAATGTGTGAGGGCTCCAAAACGCCCTGACCGTTTTGAGAGACATCTGAGGTCGAGGCGGCGGAGGAGGAGGAGGGGGAGCATGGCGAGGAGGAGGAAAAGAGGAAGCATGGAGGAAGAGTCGGATGAGGAGGAAGGGGGAGAAGGAGAAGGAGAATGAGGATGATGATGAGGAGGAGGAGGAGGAAGAGTACGAGGAGGATGAGGAAGAGGAGGAGGAGGAGGAGGAAGAGTACGAGGAGGAAGAGGAGGAGGAGAAGGGGGTGGAGGGGGGGGAAGGGGAGGAGGAGGAGGAGGAGGAGGAGGAGGAGGAGGAGGACGACGGCAGCGGCGAAGGCGAAGACGACCAGGGCCGCCGCCTCTCGGCGGCCTCCCGCGCGCGGGCGCCGCACGTGTCGCACAGCACCACGACCTGGGCTGCGGGCAGCCCGGGGCGTCGTCGTCGTCGTCGCCGCCGTCGTCGTCGTCCCCGCCGCCGCCGTCGTCGTCGTCGTCGTTGCCGATGTCGTCGTGGTGGTCGTCGTCGTCGTCGTCGTCGTCGTCGTCGTCGTCGTCATCGTCGTGGTCGTGGTCGTCGTCGTCGTCGTCGTCGTCGTCGTCGTCGTCCTCGGGAGATCAAAAGATACCGATGCAGCTACTCCGGAAGCTCTCGGGGGTGCGCTCTGACCAGAAATTCAAGAGGCGGGCCCGGCCGCGGCGAGGGCCCCCCCGGGAGGCCCGAGACGACGAAGACGAGGCAGGAGTGGCAGCAGCGGTGCCTCCTGGTGGTCTGGCCTGACGTCGCTCGTCGTGGTCTGTCGTCGGTCGTCGTCGTGGTCTGTCGTCGCTCGTCGTGGTCTGTCGTCGCTCGTCGTTGAGTCACCGTCGTGGCCTCTCGTCGCTCGTCGTCGTCCGTCCTGCGTCATGCGACGTCCTTCGCTCGTCGCCACCGCACAGGATGGGCGCCGGCAGACCTCGCCCAGCTGTCCTCTTCCTCTTGCACGTCCTCGCCCTCGCCTTGGTCGTGCTCGTCGTCGCCCTCCTCCTCCTCATCCATGTCCTCTGCCGTCGTCGTTGTCGCCGTCCTCCTCTTCGTCCTCCTCTCTCGTCCTTACCGCAGTGCGGTCATGACCGTCAATCCCGACCTTCCTCCTTCCTCCCTCCCCCCTTCCTCGTCATCCTACTCTTCCTCCATGCTTCCCCTCTTCCTCCTCGTCATACTCCTCCTCCTCCTCCTCCTCCTCCTCCTCGTTCTCCCCCCAACCCATCTGATACAATGGGCAAGATATACGGGTCCCAGGCCGAACGATCATTCGACAAGGGACCTGACGTGCGGTCCTCCTGTGAGACGTGCATCACGGGCCTCTGCACTGCACGGGACAGGTCTGAAGCAACACTGAAGGCGAGGAAACGAAAGGAGAATCACCGAGGGACGATGACGAGGAGGCGCAGAAGTGTGAAGGGGAACTGGGACACACAAATAAATACACACAAATAAAATGATTCCCCATATTTTCCTATATTTTCTGGGTTTCTGTCTTTCCGCCCAATTCCCATATTTTCCCATATTTTCCTGGGACTCGACGATTAATTGTGTCTGTGTGTTTCTTTCCCTCCTGAAAGTGATACTGCTCTGGATCATCTGCCTCCTCCTGCAGGAAGAGGCGGGAGGACACACGAAATAAGCGACGGCTGCGCGGCTGGCATGGCCCAGCTGGCCCGCGTGGGGCACCGCTCCGCTGGCCTCTCCAGGGGCGCAGCAAAGTGGCCGCAGATGCACGCCTGGCAGAAACAAGGACAGGCGAGGTCTAGTTAGTATTAAATCGGGCGTGTCCCCCTACAGGGGGGATTTTCGACGAAACCCAACAAATACTCAATAAATACTCTCGTTCTTCCCAGGATCCAGCGGTGTTGTGGCGCCGAGACCCCCCCCCCAGGAGGCCCCAGCAAGCCCCAGGAGGCTCCCAGAAAGCTCCAAGGGGCCCAGGAACGCCCCGGAAGTCTCCTGGGCCTCGCGGGGCCTCCTGGGGCTTCCTGGGGGCCTCCTGGAGCCTCCTGGGGCGTTCTGGGGCCCCCTGGCTTCCTGGGGCCTCCTGGGGGGGTCTCGGCGCCATAACACCGCTCGAGTCTGGAAGAGCGCGTCCCCGAGTTTTATCCAAATCAATCGGCAGATGAATGTCGCCCCTCGGCGTTTGGGTGCCCGCGGGGCTCTGTGGACCTTGCGGCTCTTCTAGGGCTTCCTGGGGGCCTCCTGGAGCCTTCTGGGCGCTCTGGGGCCTCCAGATGGTTTCCTGGGGGCCTCGTGGGGTCAGCCGACGCCTCCTGCGGGTGGCTCTCGGCGCCGTAGCGCCGCTCGATGCGGAAAGAGAATGAACTCCTGACGTTGGCCAAATCGACGGGTGTTATGGCGCCCCTCGGCCCCTCGGTGCCCGCGACGCTTTGTGGACCCCGCGGCCCTCCTGGGGCTTCGCGTGGGCGTCCTTGAAGGGGCCCCAGGACACACACAAATCAATACACACAAATAAGACAAATCCCCATATTTTCCCATATGTTCTGGTTTCTGTCTTCCCCCCCACATCCCATATTTTCTTATATTTTCTGGGGAATCGAGGATTAATTGTGTCTGTGCGTTTCTTTTCCTCCTGAGTCCTGGGGCCTCCCGGGGCGTTCTGGGGCCTCACTGGGTGGCTTCCTGGCGGCCTCCTGAGGCCTGCTGGGGCGGGCGGGCGGCCTCGGCGCCACGACGCCGTTGGATCTTGGGAAGCAGGGGCCACCAGAGTTGCCCAAGTCGGCCAGCGTGACGGCGCCCTGGCCTTATGTCGGGCGTGTCCCCTTGCAGGGGGATTTTCGACGAAAAATCAAACATCCCCCCAAAATGCCCCAAAAAGGCATAAAAATACTCAAAACATAGTCCCTGGACTTTTTTTTTTTTTTTTTAATTGGGGGTATGTGTTATATTTCGTCGAAAATGCCCCTGTAGGGGGACAGGACCGACATAACCCTGGCCTCTCGGTGCCCGCGACGCTCTCTGTGGGCCCCGCGGCCCTCCTGGGGCCGGGGCGCCCCCAGGAGACCCCAAGGGAGCCCCGGGAGGCCCCCAGGAGGGACCCCCCGTGCTGTGGGCTCTCTTGTTGTGGCCCCCGGTGCCTGTTGTGGATCCTCCTGCTGCGTGTCCTCCCGTTGTGTGCCCTCCTGTCGTGGGCCCTCACGGGCCACTCTAGCATCTCGAAGTGGCCCCTGGAGAGCCCTAGGAGAACCCAGAGGGCTCGAGACATCCTCAAAAACCGGCTCCGAGGGCTCAGACGCTTCCCGATTCTCTGGTCCGAATCGGACAGAAGGTTTTTGTTACATGTTCAAGCCAATGCAAACGCACCGACGTCCAAGACGACGACGACGACAACGACGACGACGACGACGGTCGGACCGTCTCAGGACGACGACCGACGAACGACGATTAGCGACAACTGCGAAACACGGCGACGGCCGAGTACCAACGACGACGACGACGACGACGACGACGACGACGACGACGACGACGTCTGGTCCGTCTGGGGCGCTCGGGAGGGTGCAGTCGGGGGCACAGTCTGGTACCTTCGGGGGTTCGCTCGCGGCGCATTCGGCCCCAGCGGGTGGCCTCAAAACCACAGGTGTTCGAAGGACTCGGAGCCCGAGGCGGCACATCCGCCTGCAACCGCCCCATCCACTATACATCCGCCGATCCGGCGTGTGAGTTTCTGACAGCGTGGACTTGAGCTCGCTCAAGCTTCGCTCTGCAGGGGGGGGGGGGGGCCCGTACGTTGTTTCGGACGTCATTTCCGACGTTTTTCGGTACCCGAGGATATTTCCGACGTCATTTCCAAAATTGTTCGGTCTCACCCCCCCGGGATCGGCGGCACTGGCCGGAGGCCAGCCCACTATATATATATATATATATATATATATATATGTATGTATATATATATATATGTATGTATATATATACATACATATATATATATATATATACACATATATATATACGTGTGTGTATATATATATATATATATATGTATTGCCAACAGCGGCGCCCCCGTCTCTGGGGCAGGGGAGGGGGAGAGGGGGAGTCGCGTCCTCGAAGCGCTCCCTTCCAGAATCTGACCTGGCCCGCGCGTTCTAGAATGTGGCCTCGGCCGGTCGCGGCCGCACTTCTAGAGCTGGCCTTCTAGAACTTTGCGACGGCGTCCGTGGTTGTCGTCGGTCGTCCTCGTCGGTCGGTCCGTCCGTCCGTCGTTGTCTTCGTGGCCGTCGTTCGTCGCTGTTGGTCGGTCGGTCTGTCGTCATTGTCCGCTGGTCGTCGCCGTCGGTCTTCGTCCTCGTCGTTCGGTTGTCGTAGGTCGGTCGGTCGGTCGGTCGGTCGGTTGTCGTTGCCTTCGTCGTTCGACCGGTCGTCGCCGTCGGTCGACGTCGTCGTCGTCGTCGATCGCTCGGTTGGCCAGTCGGACGGTCGTTGTGGTCGATCGCTCGCTCGGTCGGTCGGCCGGTCCTCGTCGTCCTTCGCGGTCGTGGTCGTCGTCGTCGTCGTCGTCGTCGGTCGCTCGGTCTCTCGGCTGCTGGGCCGCTCGGTCATTCGGTCGGTCGGTCTGTCGGTCGTCGCCATCGTTGTCTTTCGGTCGTCGCCGTCGATCGCTGTCGCATGAGTGGGCAGCTAGAGCGAGCCACGCCTCCAACACGGCCTGGACTAATCATAGTCGTTTGACGGACTCACCTCGTCAAAATCCGCAGTAGCAGATTCGTCCGCTGACTGTAAGGAGGCGTTGTTAAAAGCACTATTACTCAGTATCCCTCACTGAAGGCGTTCGTACCAAGGGGCCCCTTCTAAAGGAAGCATGGCCAATAAGTCCTCACTACAAGAATCCTCACTGAGAAGATCAGTCTTAAGGCATCCTTACCGGACTGACCAGCGAAGGGATCCTTACTGAGGACTCCTCATTGAAGTCGTCCGGACTAACGAATGCTTAACAAAGGCATCCTCATTCAGCTTACCAATGACACCTCATTGAACTGGTCTTTATTACTTATTACTCATTCAAGGGGTCCTTACAAATGTTTACTAAAGGCATCCGCACTGAGGATGCCCCACTAAAGGGAAACTTACTCAGGATCCCTGCATAAAAGGCATCCGTGCGAATGAAGCATTAGGAAAGACAGATTTGCTAAGCGTCTCTGACTAAATGAACTCTCACGAAGAATCCCTGCGAAATTTTGCAGTGGAAGGGGGGGTTCGACCCTTGAACCTTGGACTCCATGGTGTTCCATTGGACTCCAGTGGACTCTTTGGGAATCCGTCGGATTACATTGGGCTCCATTGGACACAAGAGGACTCCATTGGACTCTGGTGGATGCCATTGGCATGCCCGCACAACTTCATTGCACTCCACTAGGGTAGCCAAACGACTCCATCGGAATCCTGAGACTCCGCTGGACTCCATTGGACTCCATCGGGCTCCAATGGGCTCCATACGACTCCCAACAAGACTCCAGTGGAATTTATCTGCATCAAAGTGCATATGACTCCAGTAGACTACCAGGATCCTTTCAAAGTCAGGTGGCACCCTAGTAGAACTCCATACGACACCATGGGACCCTATTGGAATATCCATACGACTCCCGTGAACCCCATGGACTCCACTTGACTTCGCAGGACTCGATTGAGATCCGTTGGGCTCCACGGACTCCATTGGACACTGTAGCACTCAATTGGGATACCCATGCGACTCCTTTGGGCACTCCATTGGGCTCCATTGGTCCCCATGGGACTTCCATTGGACTCCATCGGCCTCCATTGAATCCCGTAGGACTCTTGTGGACTCCATTTCTCGGGGAGCAAGGGACTCCATGGCCATACACAAGAAGCCCATTGCCATAACCAACGGATCCATCGCCATACACAGGTAGGCCCATCGGATACCCGGAGAGTGCACTCGCATGCCCAAGATCGCGCAAGGGAACCATTGAGGAGGGGGGACCTGGACCACTGCCAGGTGTCTAGTACCCCATAACAGGAAAGCCTGATTCGACAGAAAACGGGGCCGCCACTGGACTGACCAAGGGCTCCCAACTTCGAGCTTCGCGTTGCGCGAAGCGCGAAGTGCGCATAACTTCGCGCTCTCGCGAGGCCTCCCAGGGGAGAAGAGGAGGATGAGGAGGAATCGGAGCCGAACCGCGAAGCGCGAATAACTTGGCGCCCTCGAGGGCGTCCTTGCTGACTGATCGGGCGGGCGCCGTGCACAAACTCTGGGCACGCCCAGGTGGAGAAACGAGGCGCCGAGGCATGCCGTGCCCTGGACTTTCCCGTGCGGGCTCCCCGGAAGCCTCGCCCGCCCCCCTGGGCCCGCCTCCCTCCTGCGGCGGCCCGCGGAGGGGGGGGCGCAGGAGGAGGAGGAGGAGGAGGAGGAGGAGGAGGAGGAGGAGGAGGAGGAGGAGGAGGAGGGAGGGTTTGGAGAGGGGAGGAGCGGAGGGTTTTGGAGGAGCTGAGAGAGGATAGGAGGAGGAGGAGGAGGAGAGTAGGAGGAGGAGGAGGAGGAGGTGAAGGAAGTGGAGAGGTGAGGAAGAGGAGGAGGAGGAGGGAGGAGGAGGAGAGGAGGGAGGATGAGGAGGAGGAAGGAGGAGGAGGCGGAGAGGGGAGACCCTGCTCATCCTGCCCCTCCTCCTGCTCCCTCCTCCTCCTCCTCCTCCTCCTCTCCTCCTCCTCCTCCGCCGCACCTGCGGCCCGCGGAGGGCCGGGGGGGCGGGCAGGCCTTGGCTGCGACGTGCGGCGCAGCCGCCAGGTAGTCCACCTGCGGCGCCCTCTCGGCCCCGCCTGCTCCTGCTCCTCTCTCCGGCTCCTGCTCCTCTCCCTCCTCCTCCTCCGTCCTCCCCTCCTTTCTCCTCCTCCTCCCTCCTCCTTCCTCCTCCTCCTCCTCCTCCTCCTCCTCCTCCTCTCCTCCTCCTCCTCCTCCTCCTCCTCCTCCTCCTCCTCCTCCTCCCCTCTCCTCGCTCCTCCGCCTCCCCTTCCCTCCTCCTCCTCCTCCTCCTCCTCCTCCCTCCTCCCTCCTCCCTCCGCTCCTCCTCCTCCTCCTCCTCCTCTCCTCCTCCTCCTCCCTCCTCCTCTCTCCTCCTCCCTCCTCCTCTCTCCTCCTTCCTCCTCCTCCTCCCTCCTCCTGCTCCTCCTCCTCCTCCTCCTCCTCCTCCTCCTCCTCCTCCCCTCCTCCTCCTCCTCCTCCTCCTCCTCCTCCTCCTAGGCCCCCCAGGAGGGCTCACCCACGGGACGCAAACGGCGCCGACGACGGCAGTGGCGGCGCCGGCGGCGGGGACGACGACGAGGACGGCGACGGCGGCGGCGACGGCGACGAAGACGAGGGGAGGGGAGGTGGAAAGGGGAGACCGAGGAGAGGGGGAGAGTAAATGGGGGGGGCAAGCTGGGCGCACTCGCGCCATATCTGGCGTGCTACCCCTCCCGCCCACCCCTTTTCCACTGCGCTGAAGTAGTTTGCCTCCGCCGTCTGGGGAGACAAAGATGAGAATGCGGATGATGGTCATGATGATGATGGTGGTGATGTCGATAGTTATGATGGTGATGTTAATCGAGGTGGTGATCGTAATGTTGTTACTAATGCGGATGAGGAGAAGGAAGAGGAGGAAAAGGAGGAGGACCAGCCGCAGCAGGAGCAGAAGGAGAAAAAACAGCAGGTGCATGATGAGCATAACGAGCCGAACACACATACACCACCACACACACACACACACGCACACGCACACGCACACGCACACGCACACGCACACGCACACGCGCACGAAAATACACACACACACGCACACACACACACGCGCGTGAACTGCGTGTTGTGCGATAAAATGCATGCGGGATTGGAAGCGTCAAACCCTAGAAGAGGGAGGACACCTGTACTCATATGATTGTGTAGCTGTGGAAGGGGAGGGGAGGGGAGCGGACGAAAGGGAAGGGTGGGAGGACACACGAAAGCAAGGAAGGGACGAGGACACGGGTGTGAACAAGGGGGAATGTTGGGGGGGCGACAGAGGGAGCAAGGAAGGGGAAGGTGCTGGGCAGGCCAAAGTGTATACTGTAACGGAAAGGCAGAAATAATGGACCGTGGGGAAACGGTTTGCAAGGATATGGGGAGGGTGGGCGAGGGTATCGGGAAGAGAGGAGTGGGGAGGGGGGAGCACAGGGGAAGGGAGGGGAGGAGGGGAGAGGGGAGGGGAGAGAACGGGAGGAGAAGGGAACGGAGGGGAAGAGATACAAGCTAGGTGCGCTAGCATCACGTCACGCGTCCTCCCCCCTCCGTTGCATCCCTGGCCATGGCGTAGATTTAGTTTCAATCCGCACAGCCAGATGTCGAGCAGGGCAATGATCACAAGAGGGTACGCGATACATGTAAAACGTGGCGTAAAAGAGCAGGGCGACGCATAGCATGTCATAACATGGCGTGGCAGTGCGTCGTGAAGCACTGCATGATAAAGCAGCGCAGCGCAACGCATGACATCGCACAGCGTGCACAACACAGCATCGCTGTGCACGCCGTGGCATGTGACCGACGGAGGCCAGGACCGACAGAAATAAGACCGACGCTGCGGCGGGAGCACGATTACAAGGACAGGAGAGCGGGAGCGAGACCAGGATCGAACACGGGAATGAAGCCACCGCTGCAGCGGGAGCACCACTGGGAGGACCGAGGCACCGGAGCAAAGCCAGCACCACACCGACAACGGTACTGGGAAGGTCCTGGCACGCTCATGCTGCTGCTGGATCACGTTTTTGAACAACCGAAGCGGGGTCAACGTTACAGCGGGAGCACGGATTTGTGAACGCATGAAAAACGACTCCCGACCCCCACATGAAGAACTTTAGACTAATGGGACCGTCGAACGACGCGCGAAGTGCAAGCGGAAGCAGCTCGACGTTCCCAACGGAAGCGCCGCGCAATTGAACGCGAACGGCGCGGTGCTGCTATGCTCTGGACGTTTGATGAACTTGGCGCTGCCTGGTGCCGGCACGCCGTCAAAGCCCAAAGTCGTCGTAGATGTTCGCGCACTCGTGCCGGGGCAAAAATCTGGGGGCGCGTCGGCTTTCGGCGGCGCTGGCAATGAGCCCCCGACGGCGCCCGGGGACCGCCCAGGACGGGCGCGCGTCGAAAAGTTTAGGCCCACCCCAAAAACGAAGCTTAAGCACCTGGCGAGAAAAAGTATAAACTCTGTGGAGCATCGGTATAAACTTCTCCGAAGCACAAAGTCTCGCGCGGGAGAGCCCCGAAAAGCTCACTTAAAAATGTGTTTAATACGAACGCCGAAAAAAACTCTACATTGGAACAATTGCCCCAAGAGAAACATTCCCGATCTAAACTGTTCCGTCGGCGGGTTACGAGGGGGCGACGGAGGCGGGGGCCAGGGCAAGCGGCTGGGCCAGCGGCGCTGCCGTGCGAGGGACAGCGCCGCCGTCGCCTCAAACTGCACGCCGCGGCCGTGGCGCGCGCGGCCCTGGGGAATGCGGGCGCGGGCGCGGCCGCGTCGAGTGGGCCCAGCACGTCGCCGCGCGCGCGGGCACCCCTGCGGCAGCTGACAAGGGCCTCGCCGACAGGGCGCCCACGCTTACGCACATTCGCCATAAATTCAAAACGCAAACATATAAAATCCATAGTTGTGGGGGCTGTGGTCGGTTTCCCACAGTTCATTTTGAATGACCGAAGCGCGGGAATGGGGGCGGTGCTCTAGCGGGAGCACAATTTTGGAAGAGCCGGAAACGACTGAATTGGAAACGCACACACACGACAAAAAAAACACAAATCATGAAACTTGTGTGAACGAACAATGCGCGGAGAGGACGGGGCACTCTCCGCACAGAGTCAGGAAAAAGAGAGGAAAGAAGTATTCACATTGTGTGATTGTGGGGGAGGGAGAAGTGTAGGCGAGGGTGCGGGGGGGGCAGGATTGAGCAGTTGAGGAGAGGATGCGCGGGGGTGCCCGCGAGGGGAGGAACGCAGGCGCAGGGAGGCAGGGGGGGGAGGCAGAGAGGGGCAGGAGGGAGGGGGGCAGGTCCTGTGCGGTGGCGAGGGGAACGGGCGGAGGGAGGGATGAGGGCTGAGGTTGCAAACGACAGCCTCCCCGCTTCCCAACTGACTGGCACGCAGCACCCCGCAGTTCTGGATGCGAGCCAGCGGCATTCCCCATCGCAGCGCGCCCGCACAGGTCGCCCGCGCAGCGCGCCTTCACAGCGCGCCGGCACGGCGTGCCCGGACCCGGACCGAGGCGCCGATCCGACGACGCGCGCGCAGGGACATACTAAGAACGCTCGGACACCACAACGTCATGCTTTGCCTTTCTTGCTCCAAATGCAGTACAACCTCCCAGAGGGGAGTCGCCAGGGCAGGAGGGGAGGACATGGGGGTTACGGTTTGGGGGTCGCCCCTTTAGCATGGGGGAAGCGGGTCCTGAGGGAAACGGGTCCTGGACCCTGGGGCCTTCCCCCAGAACGAGATCTTCATCCTGAGCTGTTTTGTGATAGTCCCGGGGCCCGTGGACGGCCCCGAAAGCCCGGAAAAAACGAAAAGACTCAGGACCCGTTTCCCTCAGGACCCGTTTCTCCCATGGCGACCCCTGGATGCCGTGGATGGTCATCGCCAGGTTGGAAACAGTGGCCGCGGTGGTGTGACGCCGAGGCCGTCGGGTCCCTCCGCCTTGGCTGCTGTCGGTGTTGCTGCTGGTGCATCCGCGGGTGAGCGTGGGCCGCGGTCGAGGTCAGCCTCCGAATCGCGTGCCTGCGTAATCGTGGGGTCCGTTTTCTGCCAGAGTGGCCAGGTCGTTGACGCTATCCAGAAGCCGGCCCGCGCTGTGGGTATCGCGCCAAAGCTGTGGGCGACAGTACGCAGGCGCACGTGCTCTTGGTGATGGGCCAGTTTTCCACCACCGCTACCATAGGTAGGACGGGGGAGAAGGGAGGATGAGGAAGTCCTCCTCCTCATCCTCCTCCTCCTCTCCTCCTCCCCCCTCCCCTATGGTAGTGGTGGTGGAACATGGGTCCATCTGTGGTTTCCGAGCTGAGTGGGTTGCGGTTGGACCTCGCGCCGGGGTCGTCGCAGTACGGCGACGGCGGCGGCAAATATTCCCCTGTGCAGAAACGGGCCTCTCTGCCTCTAGTGATGCCACTGCCACGACAGAAGCTGGATAAGGAGTGAGGGGGCTCTCACTGGCGACGGCGAACCTCGGCCCCGAATAGATCCCCAGGCTAAGTCCGAGGAGCGGGCGGAAAACCAGAGCCCCTGCCGAGCTCAAGAGTGGTCCTGCCAGCGTGGACTGCACAGGTCGGCTGAGTCAGAACTGTCATCACCGGCAATGGCGGTCGGCCACACGGGAGCTACGGCGAACACTGGCATCGTCTGTTAATGGGAGGCAGTTCGCGGCGGGAATAACAGGCATATTTTGAATCCTTGGGTTCGACAAAACATTTGGTCGCTGAAACTAACTTGTCGCGGTGAATCCCTCGCCGGCCAAGCCATTCGCCAACATCGCCCGTCTCTCCGCGCCTTCGCGGCCGGAAATCGGCGCGCTGATGCAAATTCGTGAAACTTGCAGAAAAAACAAATTACCCTGGCGACGTACCCAACCCCTGCGCAAAAGCGGGGCGCAAATAGTTTAGGATACTTTATAAGGGGGCGATGACGGAGCGAAGGTTACATATGTCTGCAGACGGAATTCGGGAGACTCGCAGGACACTGGCTACAGGAAAAGGGCTTGATAAAGCTGATGAGCTACAATTCCTGAGCACTCCTAGCCACTTCGAAAACGGGGATCACAGCAGGCCTCGAAAGTGGCGACAGTTTCGCAGATCGCAGCCCCCCAGGGATGGCGAGGTCTCATTTGAATCTGCCCGTGGCGTCACTGTGCTGGGCCCCCCAGCAGGCCTCGAAAGTGGCGATGGTTTTACATATCACAGCCCCCCCAGGGATGGCGAGGTCTAATTTGAATCTGCGCGGGGCCCTCACTGTGCTGGGCCCCCCCCAGCAGGCCTCGAAAGTGGCAACAGTTTCGCGTATCGCAGCCCCCCAGGGATGGCGAGGTCTAATTTGAATCTGCGCGTCGCCCTCACTGTGCTGGGCCCCCCCAGCAGGCCTCGAAAATGGCGACAGCTTAACAGATCGCAGCCCCAATTTGAATCTGCGCGTCGCCCTCACTGTGCTGGGCCCCCCAGCAGGCCTCGAAAATGGCGACAGTTTCACAGATCGCAGCCCCACAAGGATGGCGAGGTCGAATTTGAATCCGCGCGTCGCCCTCACTGTGCTGGGCCCCCCAGCAGGCCTCGAAAATGGCGATGGTTTCACATATCACAGCCCCCCCAGGGATGGCGAGGTCTAATTTGAATCTGCGCGGGGCCCTCACTGTGCTGGGCCCCCCAGCAGGCCTCGAAATTGGCGACAATTTCACAGATCGCAGCCCCCCCCAGGGATGGCGAGGTCTAATTTGAATCTGCGCGGGGCCCTCACTGTGCTGGGCCCCCCAGCAGGCCTCGAAAGTGGCGACAGTTTCACGTATCGCAGCCCCCCCAGGGATGGCGAGGTCTAATTTGAATCTGCGCGGGGCCCTCACTTTGCTGGGCCCCCCAGCAGGCCTCGAAAATGGCGACAGTTTCACAGATCGCAGCCCCCCCAGGGATGGCGAGGTCTAATTTGAATCTGCGCGGGGCCCTCACTGTGCTGGCCCCCCCAGCAGGCCTCGAAAATTGCGACAGTTTCACAGATCGCAGCCCCCCGCAGGCAAGACAGGAAGAGGCAGGGAGGGAGGAGAAGGAGGAAGGAAGGAGTGGGGACCACACTGCTCTATTCAAAACGAATACCCAACCAAGGAGGGTTGGGAAAAAATCGCGCGCGTTAATTTTACATGCGTTTTCTGCAAATTCCACCGCCGCACCCTTTTTTGCGACGGCGTTCGCGAAGTTTTCCTCACCGATTCCTCCTCGCCGAAACCTGCGAAACTACGTGCGCGCATGAATTTACGTGCGCTGCTCTCTGCGAATTCCACGGCCGCTCCCTGTCCTGCAACGCTGTTCGCGAATTTATCCGCGCGGGCCGCGCGATTTTCCAAATTTGAAGATTTCTCTTCGTCCGCGCGGCTATGCCACATTCACGTGCGAGCGTACATATACGTGCGCCCTCTGCGAACTCCACGGACGCACCCTCTTCTGCGACGCCTCCGCGCTGGCCGCGCGTTTCGCCAAATTCGCCGATTTCTCCGCGCCCGCGCGGCCGGAAGTCTGCGCGCTGATGCGGGTTTACAAGCGCGTAAGTTTACGTGCGGCCTCTGCGAACTCCACGGCCGTTCCCTCTTTTGCGTTTCTGGATCGGCCACCAAACCATCGCCTTCATGCGGACCCTTAAGCTTCCCCTAGTGCTCTGTTCTCTGTAATGTGTCGTCCAACAACTGCCAGAGGTCGTCGCCAAACTTGGAATAGTCGTCTTCATCCAACTCAGATTCACCATTTGGTCGTCGTCACTTCTTTTGATGTCCGACGTTTTGGTGTACTCGCTCAATATGTGCTCAACCTCCCGCTCGGGTTATCAGATCATTCCCTCCGACATCAAGAACTGCCCCACGCACGCTTTCGAGGTGGTTCAAAATCCGGTGCCTATACAATAACCGCGCTTTCTCTGGGAGATTGCATTCAAAACCTTTTTTCCGCTCCGTTCTTGGAATTCTGTCCTGTTAACTGAAGACGTCACTTACTGCGCAACAGCCTTGTGCTCACCCACGGGCTGCCATTCCCTGCGGACGGTCCTGCTGCATTGATCATGGTAACCTGCACCAAAGTGCTCGCTTGACGTTGGAACCCTTTTTCCTCCCGCACTCCTTCAATTCCAATGGATGCCTGAGTCCAGGAGAGCATCCATTGTGTAGTTCATCTGCACAATGGTTATTGCTTCGCCGGAATTGGAGGCTTAGACATGGGGCACCAACACCAACTCCGAGGGTTGCCTCCGCTAGGGAATAGTGATCCTAGATTTTGGTGTTGGTGGTAAACTTTCGGCCGCGTTGGACGCCCGAGTATTACAACCATCGCCGAGATCGGGATCATCTTCGCTCGGTGGAGGTAGATCGCCGGTATTGGTGTTGGTGTCATCCTCTAGGCCTCCGACGTTACCCACAACCCTGAGGCCCTATGGCACTGCGCTCGCAACACAACGTCATGCCTTCGTGACTGGCTTTGGGCGCCGTGCTCGCGAACCTGAAGTCCAGGTTCTCGCAACCTGCGTTGCACAGCTCCGCGAACCGGTACGTGCCCAGGTTGAACCAGGCTTCGCTCGCCTTAGGCAACGGCACATCAAAGCCCAGATCGTTGGTTCCCGGGTTCGCGGGGGCGGCTGCAGCTGCCGCCGCTGCCGCCGCTGCCAACTCAGCTCCGGAACCCGTTGGGCGAACCACGGGCTCCGCGACCATGACAATATGGCAGGGTCTGCTCTACGGCAAGGCGATAGATAGCACGTGAGCCAAACACTTGCGGCCGAGAACAAAAATGCAGCACTGGAATTGCTAAATCACAATTGTGGCAGATGACCTATCCTGCTCAGACAATCGGAACCCTACAATCTAACGCGGCCCCCTCCCCCACCTCCTCCTCCTCCTCCTCCTCCTCCCTCCTCCTCCTCCTCCTCCTCCTTCCTCCTCCTCCTCCTCCTCTGGCTCTCCTCTCTCTCTCCCTCCTCCCTCTCCCTCTCCCCTCTCGCTCCTCTCCCCTTCCCTCCTCCCCCCTCCCCCGTCCTCTCCCTCCTTCCTCCCCTCCCCCCCCCCCCCCATCCCTCCTTCCCCCCAACCCCCCCCGAGCACGCGCCACCAGCTCGGGCGCGTTGGCCCACGACACCAAGAACACGCTGAGAGGCCGTGCCTGCCCCGCCCCCCCCCGGCGCGGCCGTCGCCCGCTCTCCTCCGCCCGCCCGCCCGCCCGCCCCACCCTCGCGTCGGGCGTCGCCTTGGGGGGGACGACAAGTGAAGTCCTCCTCCTCCTCCTCCTCCTCCTCCTCCTCCTCCTCCTCCTCCTCCTCCTCCTCCTCCTCCTCCTCCTCCTCCTCCTCCTCCTCACCGTGGGATGAATGGGAGCGAGTCATTCGAGCCGCAGGCGAGATGACCACCAAGGAGCTGGAGCTGTACGTCTCCCTGTCCAAGCGTGTCATGGGCAGAGCGCAGCGGCGTGCAGTCCAGGAATCCATTCGAGACTTCAGAGATTTTATGGGCACAGCTGAGTCCATAGGCACACTGCATCGCTCATTGGACCCGCAGAATCTACCAGCACAAGAGCTCGACCACGAGGGGGAGGTGCTCTACCACCCCAAGGACATCATTGACGTCAAGGCTCGAGGCTGGCATGATCTGTGGGCGCCTCATCGGATGGACGAGGAGCTAGTGCAGCATACATTTCAGCAGGTACGAGAAGCAGCCCAGGACGATGTTCTTCCGCCCATATCGGTTGAGGACATCAGAGCAGCCTTGCGGCAGATGCGGCCCCGAGCGGGGCTTGGCGTCGACATGCTCTCCCCAGGGGGCTTCGAGCGTCTCCCTGACACGGCTCTTGCAGAGTCGGCGCTGTTGTTCGAGGCTTGCGAGTATCATCTCGTATGGCCCGCCCAGGTCCTCATGATCGTTGGACGCATGCTGCCCAAGAAGAGCACGGGCGACCGCATCATCGGGCTCGTCTCAATGGTTGGCAGATTATGGAGCTTGATTCGCGAACCGTTGGTGCGCCAGTGGAGCAGCGACACGGAGGCGTCCTGGGACGCAGCAGTGAGAGGGAACTCCAGCTTGAGGGAAGCATTTGTGAGAGCCCTCCAGCAGGAAGTGCCACATCATCTGGGCCGTCGGAGGAGGCCTCGTTGACATTAAGTCGTTTTACGATTCCATCGAGTGGCCAGGGCTGGTTTTGTGTTCCCTCAACCTGTCTTTCCCGCCGAGGATCCTCTACCTCGAGTTGCTGCAGTGCGCGGCAGCGCGCACGGTGAGCCGGCTTGGGGCCACGTCGCGGGCTTCTCAGCCGACGCGAAGTGTGGTGCAGGGCCTCCGCTCAGGCACGAGATTCGGCAAGGCCATGACCCACTACGTGCTGTCAGCCATCACAGTCGCTCACCCCAGAGTGAGCCATCGGATCTGGATAGACGATCTCTCGCAAGGGACATGTGGGTCGAGGTCCGCAGTTAGGAGGCAACTAGCAGCATGCATCATCGAGAGTTGTCAAGAGCTGCAGGCCAAGCAGCTCGCTGTCTCCCCGAAGTCCGTTGTCATTTGCTCACATTGTCAGGACGCCAAGTGGATCGCTGCACGAGTCAAGAGGGCAGGGTTTACCATCCTACCCAAGCTCCAGACAGCATACCTGGGCGTCGACGTTGCTGGTGGCAGTAGGCACGGGCGCTCGACCCGCGTCGTCCGCGAGGCCAAGCAAAAGCGCATGAATGCCAAGGTGCGACGCTTCGCTTGGACGGCCAAGAAGTATCAAACGTGCGGGCGCCTCGAGAAACAGGGCGCCCAAGCTGCTGGAGTGTATGGGCACCAAGTATACGGCACTTTCGGCAGCAAGATGACGGATATCCGGCCACGATTGGGCTTCTCTCTGGCGGACCCACGTGGGGTCGATGTCTGACAAGCCTACTCGCCTTACGAGCTGGTGATGCGGACCCCGCCATCCAGATGCCCACAGCTTGCCTGGACCAGTGGCTCACTACGGGGCGGGACCGACCTGAGATCAGACCTGGAGTACGACAAGCCTGGCGCCAGGTTGTACGACACCTTCGGTCCATCCCAGAAGGCCAACGCCCTCGACATGTGCGAGGACCTCTCACAGCTGTGGTACTGCATCTCTTGGAGGCAGGTTGGGGTGTGGATGAGCCTACGGCCTGGACAATACCACCTCCCCATGAGGCAGCAGGTGACGAATGGAGGTTCGACGACACCATGTACACTGGTGACAAGGCCCTTGACTCGCACGGTGCCTTCCTTGAGGACTTCCGCGCCTCGCTCAGGCACCAGCTGTGGGCCAAGGCCAGCCGCCATTTTTGCGGGGCAGGCCTCGAGCGCGGAGTGGATGTAACCTCGTACCGCGTGCTCTTGCAGCAACTGGCGGCTGTGCCTGAGTACGGGCACCGTTTGTCAGAGACCATGCTAGCTTGTGCCATAGGAGCTTCTTGGCCGATGCAGCGGCGCAAAGATGAGATTGCTAAATTCGACGGCAATGTTTTGTGCCCGCGATGCGGCAAGGAGCCAGAGACGGCAAAGCACCGCATCTGGCTGTGCGAGTGCAATCAAGGGAAGGTTGCATACGATGACTCACAGGACCTGCTACCGCAGGCCATTGCACAGGTGGACATGGATGAGGGTTTTTGGCTCAGGGGCATGCTTCCCGCGGCCTGGACAGCCATACCCCCGCCGCAGGACACCGAATGCTGGACCACTGAGGGATTCAATGCAGTCTCTCCAGGGTGCTGGGGTGAAGGCTCCATAGATTACCCTCTCCTCATCAGCGGTGATGCGAGTGGAGGGCCCGACAGTAGCAACAACCTGTTTCGCCGAGTTGGAGTAGCCGTGGCCCTTTTTGCCTCACTCGAGCCGTGTGTTGAGCTAATTGGCACTGTGCGCGGCCCCCTGCGTGGCCCACGCCAAGTCGTGGCGAGGGGAGAGCTTAGGGCCCTGTTGCTCGCGGTCTGGCTCACCAAGGGTTTCCTTCTGTTCATTTCAGACTGCGAACCTGTTGTCAAAGGTTGGTTCGCGGGCCGCTATGAGCGGCCCCAAGGCGAGGATAAGGATTTGTGGGCGCAGCTTGGCCAGCTTCTCAAGGAGCGTGCTGGCGGCGCTGCATCGATCACAGTTGATTTCACCCACTCCCACCTCACTGCCCAAGACATTGTGAGGGGTGTGGCGCCGAGATGGAAGGTCACTTGCAACGCTGTTGTTGACGAGGTGGCAGGCCTCGCAGCCAAGGAGGCGCGAGTCTCACAGGATGTGCGATCGAATGTTCTGTTGCACGAGCGCAGGGCTCGACTTGTTAGCACGCGGATTTTGCGGGCCACCCTTGATGCCTGCGATGCCGAAGCTGAAAATAGAGTCGTGCCTCGTGTGAAAAAGGTCGCCCCTGTCCCCTCGCCCCCCTCTGCTGCCTCTCTCTCCCTCTTCTCTACCGACCACTGTCTTGATGAGACAGGGCGCAGGTGTACTCGATGTGGGGGTTCGGCCACAAAGGCGCGGACCACACTCTGGCGACAGTCACCCTGTTTCGAGCCCCTGAACTATAACGGAGTGATTTTCAACAAACCCCCCCAAGCCCCGTTGCATATAGCGGGGGGCTTTGTTGACTCCTCTCATAGGATGCAGTGGCACAGTGGTCTGAGATTGTGGTTTTGCGGCAGATGTGGA